GGGGAAGCCGTCCGGCTCCGGCACGCCGCCGGCTCGGCGCACTGCGGGAGAGCCGGGGAAGCCCTGACCTCCCCAAGGTCGCCGGCACATCGATCCGGAGAGCTCGAGCACATGGAAACCGCTCCGGCCGTGCCAGCGCCAGGCTCGCAGCGGGGCCGGGCCCAGGAGCGGCGGCACCCCGGGCAGTGACGCTGCAGAAGACGGGGGTGGCGGGGGGGTGGCACCCTGGGGAGCCCCCTCCCATCCCACTTCTGCAGCACGAAGCCCTGGGGCTAGGAGCCCAGCCCCTACGGATTCTCTCATACCCATGTGCCCTTTTCCGGGGGGGTCTCCTGGACTTGCTGGGCTCTGCCTACCTCGTTCCCCTCAATTCCGGCCTCCCTGGCTGTTTGGCTGGGAGTAGAGACACCAGGAACAGGGGGAGGATTTGCTCGTGTTCAGCTGTGTGCTGGGGGGCTCTCCAGCCTGCCTGCCTGCCGGTGCCCAGCTCTGCAAATGACAGATCCCAAATATTGTGAACCCCATCAATCTTCTCATGACCCTGGCGATAAATATTTGCGCGGGGGCTGGTAGAGCGGCAGTGCCCGGGGAAACGCCTGCCCCTCCATCTGGAGGGGCTGAGCAGACGCTTGGCACGGACGGCCTGGCACGGCCGCAGCGCGCCTGGGACGAGAGCCCTGGCACGGGCTCCCCGGCAGATTGGTGCCATCTGCCTCGCGCCGCACCCAGCGGTGAGGCTGGTGAGGGGAGATAAGGGGCTGCCAGGTGGTGGGAGACGCAGATGCTGGCACAGCGCGGGGGTCCCTGACTCCCCCCAGGTCCTGTCCACTGGCAGCGGCATGGCTGGGGCCAGGAGCTCAATGCCACCCTGGGGCCCACTGCCTGCTTGCCCTGGGCACCCATCTGCTCCCACCCCGCTTGGCCTGGGGGCTCAGCCAAGGGGCACTGCCAGGAAAAGCTCACTGCAGGACAGAGCCTGGACCCCCTGCCCTGCTGAGCATGACGGCTGGGGAGGGGGCTGCAGAGAACCTCAGAGAGTGTGAGAGGCCAGCACTGCCCCTGTTCTGCCTCTCCCGGCTCTGGAAGCCTGGCTGGGAGTAGGGTGGGGTCCAAGGATGGTGTCTACCAGCATGGGGATACAAGGATGCATAGATGGGGCTGCAGGGATGGAGCCACCATGGCGAGAGCGCAGCAAGGGAGCCCATGGAGGTGGGGAGCACTAGTGGGAGGGTGCAGGGAGGGGGGCACTGTTCCACCCTCCCACCCCAGACTGGCTGCTGCCGACAGGAGCTGCTAGGAGGAATCTCTCCGTAATGCTCCGAAGGTCCTGGCACCATCGGCTGGGGAGATTGATTACCATTTTACTGCAATGCTTTTGACTTTCACCAGCGACCTCCGAGCTCCCCCCAGCCCCCCCGCCCCCCCCCCCCCCCCCCCCCCCCCCCCCCCCCCCCCCCCCCCCCCCCCCCCCCCCCCCCCCCCCCCGCACACCCAGCTCTGGGCTGCAGCGCCGTCCCCTCCCCCACTGCGGTGTGCACAGCCCAGCCCTCACCCAGCCCCGCACTCATCCCGCACCCATCCTGCATCCAGCCCTGCTTGCATCCTGCATCCAGCCCTGCTTCCATCCTGCATCCAGCCCTGCTCCTGTCCTGTATCCATCCTGCATCCAGCCCTGCTCACATCCAGCAGTCATCCTTCAGCAAACCCTGCTCCAATCCCGCACCCATCCTGCTCCTATCCTGCCCAAAAGGTACCGGGGGTGGCGGTCGCAGGGCTAGGTGCAGGATGGGAGCAGGGCCGGTGCTGCTCTGGGGAGAACCCAGGCGCAGGGCACTCCTTGCACCCCACGGCCACCCCCGGGGCCAGCAGGGCTGGGACGGCACCTCCCCACAGCCTGGCACAAGTCCTGCCTCAGTTTGCCCAGCCGGGGGCACGGAAAGCCGAGGACAGGGGGAATAGTCGAGGGGCAGAGCTCGCCTTTGACATGGGCCCGGAGGGGTCCGTCCGGACGCTCAGCCCCTGCCAAGGCTGCCCCAGACCGCGGGAGGAGAGCGCAGGGCCGGGGGCTCCTCCATCCCCCCTCCCCGGCGTTGCCAGAGCAGCGGCTGGGAAATTGTGCTGACACCGGCAAAACCGGGCGGCGGGGGCGGGGGAGCGCGGGCGCACGTGCTCGGGCTGATAACGGGGCTGCGGGGGCTGCGGGGAGCCCGGGCCGCCCGGCCGGGGGGGCCCTGCGCGGTCAGACCCCCGGCCCCCTGCCCTTGGGGCTGGGATGGAGCGGGCGGGTGAGGGGAGGCCGAGCGGGCAGGAGCGGACAGGCGGGAGGGAGCAGGAAGGAGGGAGGAGGCGGAATCCGGCAGGAGGGGGCAGGTAAGAACGGGCAGTGTGCCGGGCAGGAGCAGGTAGGAGGGGGCGGGAGGGCAGCATGTCGGGCGGGGAGAAGCTCCCTGAGCCCGCAAAGGCTGTGGTACAGTGATCCCCTAGCACCCCTCGAGTGCTGTCAGCAGCCCGGCGACGCTATGCAGGGTCCCATCGATGCGGTGGCTTCTTCCCTGCCTCAGTTTCTCCACCAAGGTGAGAGGCTGGAGACCCCTCCCATCAGCCACAGCCTGATCATGCCCACCTTGGGCTGGGACCAGGCCATGCCGAGCACCCAGCACACTGCAGCACCCCAGGGGTCCCACGCTATTGCTCCTGGCCCATGCTGGTCCCCCTTAACCAGGGCCAGAGCGACCTTAACAGTGAAAGTGAGAGGCTGCCAGGCCTTATCAGAGAGTATTTACAGCCGCTGTGTTCCCAATTAGACAGTCAGGTGACTGCGGCTGCTGGGGACCCAGACACTGGGGTCAAGGTCGCCGGTGGAGGGGCGGGGGGTGGAAGAGGGGCAGCCACCTCCTGGGGACAGCAGCTGGACACAGCATGGCCAGGGAGGCTGCCAGCACAGCACCCCAGTGAGGCACACCAGGGCAATGGGGACCCCGTTGCAGAGGCTGTGGGGGTTCTGGTTCCTGCCTTCAGCTTGGCCACTGTAGGGCTCCCAGTCCGGCATCAGGGTGCTCCCAGTTCAGCCCAGTCCAGGGTATACTCCAGCCCAGTGTGGCACTACACCTCCAGTTGAGCCAGCACAAGACAAGGTGCCCCCAGTCCAGCCCAGTATGCAGCAACCCCATCCCAGTCAGTACAGGGTGCCCCCATTCCAGCATGCAGCACCCCAGGTCAGCCTGGCACGGCCACGTCTCAGCCCGGTACATGCCACCCCATTCCCTGCCCAGGTGCACAGACACCCACACCCCCAGCCTGCGCCCTGGGCCCCCATTCCCAGCAGAGCACCCCCCTTTCCCAGTGCCCCGCTGGGTCCCTTGGTGCCACGGAGCGGGCGAGTCACGTGCGTGGGCACAGGTGCTGGCAGCACACGTGCTCACACACAGGGACACAGCTGGGCAGGCAGGTCCTGGCTGCACACGTGTGTGCAACCACAGATGTGCCCCACGCCAGCCCAGGGTCCCACCTGGGCCCTGGGTAGGGTCTGGCCCTGGCTACTCCCTGCTCGAGGCTGTACCCCATTTTCCCCAAAGCCACGAGGGCCTAGTAGTCCTGCCAAACCCCTTCCCTGGGTAGTGGGGGAGGTCACATGCCCGCTCTGCCTCAGTTTCCCCAGTGACACCCAGCATAGCCCACGAATGGCTGGGCAGAGTGTGTGCCCACCATGATTCACAACACTGGCACCTGATTTGCTGGCACTGCTGGCACCACAGTGGCCTCTGTGGTATCACTGTCTGTCCCTGGGCTCTGGCCAGTACCATGCAAAGAGCCACAGCCCACGGTCCCCCTGCCATGGTGCTGATGAAGGTGGGCTCAGGGGGCCAGGGGACATCAGCTCGTGCTGTGGGCATGGGCAGGAGGTGCTGCCAGGAGGGGCCCAATGTCCTGCTACCCCCACACACCTGGGTAGCCTGGCCTGGCCAGAGGTGGCCGAGACCCTTGATCGCCCCTAGGGCTGCAAGTCACAGATCCTGCTGTCTGTGAATCCACCTGTGCAGCAGCCCAGCCCTCAGCTGGGCTCACACAGCATCTCCCCTGGCTCCTCACACACCTGGGGGTGCTGGCAGAGGGCAGGGTCTGCGGGGGACCCCAAGCTGCTGGCAGCATGTCTGTGCCAGCATGTCACCAGCCAGGGACAACAAACCTGCCCAGGTAAAATCCCTACATATGAGCTTCCCCTTCCCAGCATGCGGGGCGGTGACGTGAGGTGGTGGTGAGGACAATGGCTCAGGGACACAAACTGCGGCCTGCTGCCTGCGCTGCATGCCGTGACTCAGTTTCCCCCTTTTGACTGACGGCTTTTAGAGGAGATTTGACCATCCTTGCTGCAATGAAAGCAGCCAGTTCTCCCTGCAAGTCCTTGGCACGCCCAGGCAGGTGAAGGGCCAGGACCAGCATCCCCTCAGGGCACAGCAGGAGCTGCCCCCACCAATGTTTTTGCTGTGCCCTGCCCAGCCAGCCTCGCTGCCCCGTCCCTGCTCTGGTATCGAGGGGTTGGCACCATAGTCCATGGCAAATGGGCACTGCTGGACCTCTTCCAGCTCCAGCCCTTGGGGATGCACCAGGAACAGGCTGCCCCTTCCCTGCCCGGGCTGCCCAGCCACTCCTCTCAGCTAGGCACAGGATGTGCGGTTAGCTCTGGGTTTAACCCCCAAAACTCCATGCTGGGAATGCTCAGAGACAGGAGCATCCTCAGGGACCTTTGTGTGCTCCTGCTCCTGGGCAGCTGGGATCAGTCCTGGCTGGGGGAGAGGGGCCAGGGTGGGAGGCACCCACCCAAGAAGCAGTTTGGGGAGGGAAGCACTGCAAGGTCTGCAATGGGAAAGGTGTTGGGGAGCAGTGTCCCCAGCTGGAGATGGGCGTGGGACAGATGGGGAGGGAAAGCTAAAACAAACCCCCCAGAGCTGGCTGTGGCAGGGCACAGCCAGGCTCTGCTCTGCAGGCAGACGAGCACCCACCTCTCTCACGGACGAAGTAGGCCAGGTAGAGGTCGAGCTCCTTGACAGAGACGCTGATGTGGTGGGGCTGGACGCAGAGGATGGGGTTGGTGCACTGGCCCGACTTGACCAGGCGCTCGCCGTCGGTGCTCTCCAGCGGGATCCCTTTGAAGAGGATGACCATGACCAGGTCCAGCCGCCACACCTTGTCCGCCTGCCGCAGGCAGTCGATGCGGCGCATCTTGCCTTTCTGGTCGGGGTTGGAGAGGACACAGCACGAGGGCTTCTTGCCCGTGATGGAGAGCACGAAGTCCTCGCGGCACTCGGGCCGGATGTCCTTGCGCAGCTTGGCCAGGAGGCGCGAGGCCCATTTCTGTTTCACCTCCGGCTTCTCGCTCAGCAGCTCGTCCTTCACCGCCCTCTCCTCATCCTTCGTCATCCTCTTCTCATGCTTCTTGAAATACTTGCGCTTGCGGGCCTGCAGGTTGAACCAGGTGTAGGCAAAGGCCCTGACGTGGGGGAGCAACGCCTCGATGAAGGGGTGGAACTCATCCTGTGGGAGCAGAGGAACAGGGGGTCACTCCTGGCCGAGTCCCTCCAAGCTCCCTCCCGAGGTGGCTGTGGAGCCCTGGGGACCTGCCAGGCTCATTCCCACTGGGCTGCATTCCAGTGCAACCAGAAAAAAAGCTGTGGCAGAGGCACAGGCCTACCAGGGCTGGGGGTCCTCTCACCACAGAGCAAGGTTATTCCCATTCCAGCAGACCTCCATAAATCCCACCCGCTGCAGTTTTCCCAGGCCAACAACCTGCAGGGAGTGGCTGGGCAATACTGGAACCAGTGCCGTAAAGGCACAGGCCTGTACAAGGCTGGCCACCTCAGCAGAACCTGGACCCTCTCCCATTGGCAGGATCTGCTACCTCCAGGTGCAGAAATCCCACCTGAAATCCCAGCTGACACTGTGCCCACCACTGTGCTGGCGTCAGGCGCTGCCAGACCACAACACCCCAGTGTCGGGTCCCCCATGCCTGCAGCATGCTGGGTGCTCTCTCTCAAGCTGTGGGTGCCTTGGACCTCTCCACTCCCTCTGGACCAGTGAGAAACTCCCCCAGTTTGCCCCAGTTGCAGCTAGCCCGGCAGCTGGCGCCTGGCCCGGCACACAAGACGTGCTCTGACTGCCTTTTTCCATTTGGTGAGCGCTGCTGGATGAGTCCAGCCCCAAAAAGAAAACAAGGAAAATGCATCCCCATCCCTGGCCCCTCCTTCCCGCATCCCATTTTTTTTTCCAATTTGGAAAATCACTGCTTCCTGGCTGGGGGCCCACAACCCCACCATGGGATGGAAAGGTGTTGAGAGCCTTCCTGGTGAGGAGCAGCACAGCTTGGAAAGCAGCAGGCAGAGGGTTGAACATCCCTGTGTCTAGCCAGGGCAGCACCAAGCTGGTCCCCAAGGACAGGATTTGGCCCTTGGGGTCCCTCATGACTGTGGGGAGGAGAAGGAGGAGGATGAAGGAGTCCAGCTGGATTCCTGCTGCAGGGTGTCAGGGCTGAGAGGGGTTGGCTGGTGACAACTGACACCGCCATGCCACAGGGTCATGCCTGGGGAGGGTGCCAAGGGCAAGTGCTGCTCTGAGGTGAGGAGGTGGCCACGGGCAGGAGCTGGGAAAGGACAGAGCTGTGGCTGGGGGATGGGGTGAGCGCTCCAGATCCGGCCCCACTCGTCGCGGAGCAGCGATGCCATTCCCTGGCAAAGCAGCTGTGTCCCAGAGTAACCCTGCCTGGAGGGAACAATGTCCCCTGAAACAGTTTCCCAGCAAGGATCAGCCCCATACAGACCCTGCTAACTCCCACTTGTTCCCAAGATCAGCACAGATCCCATTAACCCTAAATCTACTCCCTCAGCACAAACCCTGACAACAGCAAGTGTGAGTCCCTGGGTGTCCCCTGAACCAGTGACCCCTACACGGACCCTGCTGTGACCTGGCACAGACATCCCAGTGCAGACCCCACTGTCCCTGAACCCAGCACAGACACCAGGAACTGCCAGCCCCAACCCCTGGCACAGCCCCACTAACCCCCCAAAAGTCCCTGAACACACAGATCCTTCCTCATGGGACAGACCCTGCCACCTCTGGGGGCCACCAGCCCCTCTCTGGACAAAAAGCTGTGGCCCCACAGGTGTCCCTCCCATGCCCAACAAGGGACAGGGGACTGTGCCCTCACTGTCCCCATTGTACCTATAGGGACCCAAATCTGCAGGCAAACCCATCCCAACCCTGGGGAGCCGTCCCTGCCCAGGGGGCTCATCCTGCCAGAGGAATCGCTCTTTGCGTGGAGGACCCGATTCTGCCTGGGGAACCTGTCCCCACCGGCTGCTCCCGGGACCGCCACAGGGTCTGGTTCCCTCTTCCCTCCCCAGCAGCAGCCGCTAATTCAGTGCAGCTGGGCAAGGGCTGGGCATGTGTCTTAAATCAGGGAAGAAGGTCAAAGAAAAGTAAGACAGGAGCCGAAAAAAGCAGCAGTGAGTTCCAAAAACAATACTTGGCCGGGGCGGTGGGCGGCTGATCTTCCTTGGTGGCCGGTTATTCAGACGAGCCCGACAAATTGCTGCCATCCCCTGGCCCCGCCACCCTCCGCAGGCAGCCGGCGGCAGGGCTGGCCGCAGGGCCGGGGGGACACCGCGCATTGTCCCCATCCCCGCTCTCCCGCCTGGGGACTGCCACCCCAGGCACCACTGCAGGGAAGCGTGGCAGGAACCAGGTTATCCGGGTTGGGTTGGGTGAGGCAGCACCCTCGGGTGCTGCTCGGCGCTCTCCTCGGCACGGCAGCAGCAAACCCCAGGCTCTGCCCTCCGCCGCCACGGTGCCGAGAATTCGCAGTTCTCACTTGGACCCACAACCGAGCCCCTCCAGAAACGCGCTGCGCGCAGAAGCCCCTGCAGCCCTCGGTGACCCCGAAGCCATCGCAGCCCCCACGAGCTGCCGGGGATTAGGGCAGGCCGGGAGCTGCGCCCGAAGCCGATGAGCCGCTCGCCAACTTTCCCTCCCGCCCGGCTTAACCCGCGCCGCGATGCCGCGGTTAAGCCGCTTTAGCGGGGCAGGCGAGGGCGGCTGGGGGGCACCAGGACAAGCACACGGCAAGGGCTGTGGGCGGCTGAGGGGACACGCTAAAGGACGCGGGGACCGTCCCCTGCCGCGCAGGCACTGAGCCCCGCGGCCAGGCACGCCGTCCCGGCGGGCACCGGCCGGCTTCGCACCGGATCCACTCGGGAGGGCAGAGGCAGGGATGTGTCTGTCTGTCCGTCCCAGTCCCACGTTCCCAGCCCAGCAGCCCGAGTGCCGGCAAAAGACTGGTTAAGTGTTTCTCCTGCTGTTTTTCCTTTGCGGGGCTGGGAAGCAGAGACGTGCTGCAATACCCCAGACGAGGCTGCTCCCGGGGCATTTCCGGATGGGAATCTGGCAGCAGAGCTTGCGCTTGGGCCTCATCCAACCCAGGCTTGTAAAGCCCTGCAACCCAGGCAGGAGCACGCCTGTGCCTGGTGCTGCCGGCCCCACTCCGGGCCCCCCTGCACCCCCTTTCCAGGGGCTGCTGGAGCGCTGGTTTTCCATGCCATGTGCTGTGATGGGAAACTGAAGCACGGGTCAAGTCTGGCTCTGCCTTGCGACGGAGTGGGAAGAGGAAGGAAGGACACTCTGTGTGGAGCTGGGCATGCATGGAGGATTAACTCCTGTGCAGCTCAGAGTTTGGCAGTGCCAGGGATTGGGAAGGGGCACAGCTGAGGCGCTGCCTCTTCTGGGGCTCTGCACTCCGGGGACAGAGGGATGCTCCGTGCCACGCAGGGACACAGCACCTGGCACGGGCACCGCGGCATGGGCTGGCCACCCTCCGAGCATCCTCTGCTCCAGCGCCTTGTCCAAACAGGTCGCACTCAGCGAAACAGCCTGAATTTTCCTATGAAAAAAAAACCGTTTCCTCAGGAAATTCCCGAGCAGTTTTCACGGGGGAGGCGCTGGGGTGAGGGGCGGAGGAGGAGGAGGAGCGGGACGGGAGGGGTCAGACACCTCGGCAGTCGGTTTTGCTCCCCAGCAGCACGGCCTCGGCTGCGGGGAGGAGCGGGATGCCATCCCCACCGCGGGCAGGGCGCGATGCGGGACAGCCTCGCTGCGTGGCAGCCCTGCAGGGACCACACAGGGTTTACTCCTTGACAGGATGCTCAGCCGCCCCTCCAGCAGCCGCACACCTCCGAAGCGCTGCCGGCTCGCACAGCCGCCGCTCCTGCCAGGTCCCGCTCCCCGCGGCCCTGCGAGCCCGGGCAGGGGCTGGCAAGTCGGGCACCGGGCTCCGTGCCCCCATGAGAAGCCTTGGCATGGTGGCAGGGGGGGATGCGACTACAGAGGTTCCAATAACCCTGAAAATCCCAGTACCTTAAAAGGGCACAGCGGGAACTTGCTTTCTCCTCATCAGAGCCCGCAGATGCCCTTAGCACGGACCGGAGCCTCCGGTAGCCGCTTATAACTGTTCGCCGAAGCGGCTCTGGGTAATGAGTTAACCTGGTAATGAGACCTGTTGCCGAGACAGATGCAAATGATTGGGAAGTGCTCATTAGAGGGGATGGAAGGAGGCACTTAGGCCCTGAAAGGCACCCAGCCCTTCCCGGGGCCGCCCTGCACCCTATTAGAGCCCATTTTGCAATAATTGCTCCAGAGGAGGAAATCTATTTGGATTCATCATAAAGTATTTATTAACAAGAGCTTATTCATAATTTTTGCTGCTCGCCGGTGTGGCGCGGCCGGGCGTCCCAGCCTGCTCTGCATCGGAACGCGTTTCCCCGGCCCGGAAAAGAGAGCGGCAGCGCTGCGCTGGGGCGGGGCAGCGAGGGGGCACGGGGGCAGCTGAGGCTCCCGGGGCAGGTACGAGCTGTGCAGGCCCTGCTGTGCACACAGCTGCCCGTGGGGCAGAACACTCTGTTACAGCCATGTTCCCCCCTAGCTCCTGGCTGACCCAGCCCCTCACTTGCAAAACCCCTCCTGCAGCCCACACTGGGGCACGGAGCCTGGGTGCCCAGGGCACCTGGCTGGCAACACTGGCACAGGTGGAGGTGCAGCCTCCTCACAGTTTCTCTCTCCAGATCCTGCCATTCTTTTCCCCCCAGAGCCAAGAGCATCCCCCAGCCAGCACCCACACGTGGCCGGGGACTGTGGGTGGGCTGGGGTGTTCCCATTTTGGGTTCTGGTGGAAGGGTCAGCACATATGGGGCAGAGAGGGGCTCCCCCCCTCATTTGCTGCCGTGATACTCAGCCCCGCTCAGGATCAGCCCCGGAGGGGATGGGTGGGCTCGTACAGCCCCCGGTGCTCACCACGCACCCGGGACCACGGTGACCGTGCACCCCTCGCTGAGCCGCCCTGGGGTCCCCACACCTGCCCAAAACTGCCCCGCCTGGTCCTCTGAGCCCCCCCGGAGCAGGCAGGTGCCCGCCGCCCCCGGGGCCGGGCCGGTGCCCACCTGCCCGTGCTACGTGCCGGGGCGGGAGCGGTGCCGGCGCTCGCCCTCGCAGGTGCTGCGGCTGCGAGCGGGGGCGCGGGGAGCGCGCCGAGGCCGCGGGTCACAGGAGGCCGCGGCGGCAGGGAACCTGCCAGTTGCTTTGGAAAACATCAGGAAGAAAAGCAGCTCTCTTGGCAGCCCCGGGCTCCGGTGCCAGCGCTGCCTGGGCCCCCGCCAGCCAGCGCAGCCCGCCCCGCAGACGGCAGCTGGGGGTGGCCCAGGTGGGATGGAGCCGGAGGGGGCTCTCCGGCAGCAGGGTACGTGCCCCGACACCGTGCCCAGCACCGCCTCTGGTCTGCCTGCGTGCACCCCCAGCCCAGCAACAACTGGCATTGCCGGTCCCCGGGTTTCCTAAATGCACCCCAAACGGGGGAGCAGCGTGCCCAGCATGCAGGGAGGGGTACGGATGCCCCAGGGATGTACATGGTAGCAACACGGCTAGCACTGGGTGGTGGAGGAGCCAGGAGGTTCTGCTGAGGGAGACTGGATTGTGTGAGAGCCCAAAGCCACTCACTGCCTTCCTGGAGACTCACTTTGACTTTCCAGGTGCCTCAGTTTCCTCAGGGGCCGTCTCTGTGCGTCCCCTTTGGGGTTTGGGAGCCGACGGCGCAGCCACTTTCCCAGGGTGACCCCACCTGCCCCCAGGGTGAGGCGCTGCCTTTCCAAAAATACGGAAACTGAGGCATGTCACCTGCCAGGCCAGCCCACAGAAGAGGCAGGATGCGATGGTGACTGCTGAGACCTGGAGAGGTCTGGAAGCAGCACTAGGGGACCCAGCCCATGGCCAAGGAGATGCCACCTCGTCCTGGGAAGCATCGCGTGGCCAGCAGCACCAGAGCCACGTGGCTTCCCAGCCAAACCCCCCCCTGGGCTCCAAGGAAGGGAAATGTTTTATGGAACTGGAAAAAAAAAAGGCTTTGCCAGTGGGTCCTGGCGTTGCTGGTTCCTCCGCCCTGCCCTGCGTCAGCGCAGGGCCCTGGGGTGGCCTGTCCCCACCATCCCTGCTCCTGGCACACGCAGGAGCTGCAGTGCCCAAGACCCAGCGCTTTGCCCATCCCAGATCCCAGGGTCTTAGCCTGGGAGCTGCCAGGATGTGACCTGGGGATAGAATTTGGTCCCAGGAGCACAGAGGGCAACTGAGGCAGGAGATGTGTTGGGGCTGGCAGCACCCTGTTTGCTCTGGGGAGGGGGCACCTCCAGAAAGGGTCCCTCCAGCCCCCCGCAGCAGGCCCAGGGCCCTGAGCCTGGCTTTAGCCCCTGACGCAGGAGGTTTTAGTTCCCTCCCAACGTATTTTTAGCCCTGCCTGCTTTGTCCTGGCCTTCCCGAGGGGGATTAATCGCACACCACTAAAGGTGTGGGGGTGCAGAGAGGTGTCCCCAGCTCCCTCCTGGGGGTGCCTGTGGGGGGGATTGGCACAGGGGGCATCTCTGCACCCCATGATGGGCAGCGCTGTGATGGGTTTCCGGGGCTCACTCCGCTGCAAATCCAGCCCTTGGAGCAGGTCAGTGGTTAAAAATAGCCCCGGCCTTTTGCTGCGGAATCGGCGACCTCGCAGGAGGATCAGCCACCCCGGGGCCCAGGAGGTGAAGAGTTCATGGCCTCCTCACAGCCCCAGTGCCATGGATGTGCCAAAGGCTCAGCCCCTCCTCCAGCACCTCATCGGCTCCCTGGGTGCTCGGGACAGCCTGCCAGGACCCTCCACAGAGAGACGGAGAAACTGAGGCACGGGTGGCGCCTGGAGATCAAAGGGGCTGGGCGTGTCCCCAGAGGGTCAGCTCTGATCCTGGCCAGACCCTGCAAGCCGAGCGCTGAAGGATGGGACTAGTTTAACGGGGTGGAAGGGGAACGTTCATCCGCTTTCGGCAGCTCAGCAGAGCCTTCCTGGGCAAATTCAAAGGCTGAGCCCGGCTGGGTCCTATTTCGGGAGGGTTTTGGACGCCTCCCAAGCGACAGAAGTGGGTGGGGGCTGACCTGCACAAAGGCACTCTGTTCGGGCCCCGGGCTCGGCGCTGCCGGCGCGGAGGCCGGTGGCTGTGGCCGGTCCCCTCGTGTCCCACGAGATGGGTCAGCAGCCCGGCCTGGGCAGGGGCCGAGTGCCCTCCTCCCGTGCCGGGCACTGCTCCCCACCTGGATGTAAACTGAGGCCCGGGGCGGGACTGCCCTTGCCTCCCGGTGCTGCTGTAACCGCTAAGTGACACTGCCATACCGCGGAGACGGCCGTGCCAACCTGCCTCGTGACGTGGGCTCCAACAGCCACCCGCCCTGGGCTACTTGCCCAGGCTGGCCCCGAGCCACCCTCTAGGGGAGTCCAAGGTCCCGCCGTGGGGTCGGCGCTTTGAGAGCCAATACCCCTGTCACAACTCCACGACGGAACAGGAAAAAACCCTCAACAGGCCGGATCCCACCAGCTCGATGCCACCACGGGGCACACTGGGGTACCAGCACCACTGGCCCTGGGACTGGGAGCCCTCCTGCATCACCTCACCGCCCCCCCGCTGGCCACCTCAGGGCCTGGGGTGCTCCAGAGAGCTCACGGGGCCGCGGTGCCACGAGCAACCCAAGCACATCTGCACGCTGCCAGCACAGCTGTGAGCGCCCATGGGCACGGGCAACAGAGACCCGGGATGGGGTCTGGGGTCCTCACCAAGGTCATGCTGGGCAAGCTCCTGTCCCTGTCCCCACGTGGGACACAGCAGTCACGGCTCGGCCCCGGCTGCTGCTGGTGACTCCTCTCTCCAACCAATTCCCCACCGCAAGGCGAGGAAGCTGGTGAGCGCGGCCCGGTTCCCTCCGGCGGTACCTCAGGATGCGATGCAGTCATCGTTAATGCATCTGGACTCATTTATGGGGATGAGAAAATGTTTCCAGGTTTCCCACAAAGTCCCATTAAGATCCCAGTCCCACTCTATTTTTAGTGCCCTCATCAACAACGCCTTTCCCAGCCACCCCGGCGCTCCAGAGCCCCATGGGGCTGGCGGGGGCACCCTGGGCACACACCTGCCTGGCTCTGCGGGGAGCTGAGCTGCACCCAGACTGGGCAGCTGGAGGGGGCAAACCCTAGCCCTGCACCCCTGACCCAGCAGCTTTGCACCCAGGGGTGTACCCTGGGGGTGGGGGTGCCCCAGCCTGGCATTTGCTTGGGAGCAGAGAAAAAAAGAAACACGGTGGGAAGCAACAGAAAAAGCCACCCCAGGTCACTGCATCAGCGGAGGCTGCAGGACCGCACTCACCACGGAAGATGGAGAGTGGCTGGGTCTGAGCATCGCTGCAGGTGTAGGGTCACACCCTGCAGCACCAGATTGTCACCTGGCGACGGCCACTGGCTGTCCCAGCCAACCGCTCATCTGCAACCCCCAGCGCCCTGGCACGTCTCCTCCCGGGTGCCCACAGGGCTCTCGGTGCAGCTGGCAAGGGCGCGAGGATCCTGCCCTCGGCGCTGCGCCCTCCCGGCCTATCTATAGCCATGACCTCAGCGAGAACCAGGGCAGGACCCGGCCGCGCATCGTCCCTTCTTGGCAGGGCCACCGCCTCAGCCCCCACCCGGCACAGAACTGCCGCCAAGCCGAGGCTTTTATCCCGTACGTTCGCTAATCCGGCGGGATTCGATGTCAGGGGCTGCCCACGGGAGGCTCACAAAGGCCGTTTCCAGGGGTGCTCAGCCAAGCGATGGAGAACGCCAGCCGGGAAGGGCAGGCGGCGGTGCTGGGTGTCACCGCGTTAGGTGACAGGCTCTGACCCCGGGGGCTGGACGGGAGGGAATGTGCGTAACCCGGCTGCGAAGAGGTCGAGCAGGGGACGTCCTTGCGTAGGCAGGGGTGACATGAGGACATCCCGCAGCTGCGCCCCGCAGGCGTCGGGGTCACAGCCTCCCGCAGAGCCGGGGGTCGCGGGGAGGACCTGCTCCCTCTGCGCCAGCTGCCCCGGGGGAAGCGGGAAAGGGGTGGCCCAGAGGAGGGGAATTTCCCCAGCTTTTTTTCTCCAACAAACTCCTTGGCTTGTGCAATTAGAGAAATTTGTTTAACAAACTCCCGGGGGAGCGGAGCGGGAAGGTGGGGTGGCGCACGGCCAGGGCGCTGCTCACACAGGCCCGCTCCCTCCCCGCCTGCGCCTTTGATCAGCAGCGCGCTGCGCAGGGGACGGGAGCCGCTCCCTGCGGCCGGGGCCACGATGTGCCACGGAAGTGCCCCGGACCCTGCGGACACCCTGCCCGTGGCAACCCTTTGCCACGTGTCCCCGCAGCTGCTGCTCCGCAGCCCCCTCCGCTCGTCACCCCCATTCCCATCTCCCTCGTGCTCGCCAGGGTGGCACGACCCTGGCACCCTGCCGCGCTCAGCCTCCAGCCCCGCGGCCGCAGGTGCGCACACGTGCGTGCCCCGCCGTGCCCGCGCCCCGCGCAGGCTCCGGGCGCGCTCCCGCCCGCTCGCTCCCGCTCTCTTTCTCATGCGATGCCATTTCCATCAAAAACTCTTTACTCGGCACTTTTCCCCTCATTGGTATTCACGCCGCGCGCTCGCTGTCCTGGCGCACAGGTTACTAAAGGAGATTTTGCGGCGCAGCGTGGCGGGGGTCACATTTCAGCCTGCGCCGTCTCGCTTTCCCAAATCGCTGGGCAGCAGCCAGGGACGGCGGGAGGGGGTGCAGGATCCGGCACATCGCAGCTCCGCCAGGCAACCGTGGGACCGAGAGGCCTCGTCGGCTGTGGCAGCGGGGCGAGGCGGGCTGGCGGCGGCGGCTCTGCAGCACACGGTGATGGGTGGCTCCCTGGGGACAGCCGGCAGGTCACCGGCGCTCGCCGTCCTCCCGGCAGCCCCACATGCCTGTGGGAGCTGCGGGAGCACCTGGAAAAGGGGGTCTGAGCAGAGAGAGGGGCACACACTTGGCGTTGCCCCCACCCACCAGCACCCAGATGAGCCCTGAGTGACACCCACTGTGGGACTGTACCCCCAGAATGATATGCTGGGGTGTGGAGGGGGCAGTGGTGCCTCTCTTTTTCAGGGCTGGTTTGGGGAAAGGGGAAATGTCTGTGTGGAAAATCAACATTTCTCTCTCATGGGCTTTTTTTTTTTCCTTTGAAAGCAAAAAATATTTCTTGGTTTTTCATGATCAGAAACATGTTGGGGGTTTTTTTGGACAACAGCCGGTCAAATACCATTTTCCCGTGAAGGGAATGCAGGGGCCCTTTGCAAGGAGAGCGAAAGCCTTCTTAAAAACAAAATAAAACCCCAGTTAAAAAAAAAAAATCCACCCGGCTATGGACTTGAATAAGCTCCCAGGGAAGAGGGGTCAGCAGGAGGGCTGGATCCCGGTGTTCCCGTGCCAGGCAGTGCTGCTGGAGTGGTGCTGGTGGTGGGAAAGGCAACGTCCACGGCCGGCAGCCCAAAGCCCAGACCTGGGGATTTCACCCAAAACGCTGCCCAGCCCTGGCTGCTGGCCGGGGAAGGAGGATTAATGCGCTTTCAGAGCAGTGGTGAGTTAACTGAGAAATCAATCCTTGGCAGTGGCTGGCCCCAGGTCCCCCAGCGCGTGAGCGCTGCCGCACCTGAGCCACGGGATCCTTTCCCAGCTCCTCTCCAGGACTTGGGAAGCTCCGGGTCTTGGCGGCGGGCGCAGGGCGTTGGGTCCCGGCCAAGCTGGCACAGAGCGCCCGGCCGCGGGGGATGCCTGCCCAGGGCCGACGTGACGGATGGCGAGCTCAGCCGCCCGCCCGGGCGCGAGCCAGGCCCCGGGATGCCCGGGGGTACCCTGTGCATCCCCTCCCTGCAGCTGGCACGTCTCAGGGGTCTGCACACCCCGCCTCGAGGGTGAGAGCTCAGGGTGTCTGGCTGCCAGGGCAGGAGGGAGGCTGAGCTCAGGCTTTTGCCTGCACCAATTTGTTGCATCCAATAGTATCTTGGTACCAAAAATACATGAGGATTTGGCACTGGGCACTACTGGCCCACCATGAAGCTTTGCCCCACTCAGACTCAGCCCTACCAGCAGCCCTCAGCTGTGTGGACGTCACCAGTGATGCCACATGATTCTGGCAGGGCTTGGCACCCACTGATGCCCCGGCTGCTCCCGTCACCTTCGCCACCCTGCCTCGACCTGCCCGGCACACCCCAAGGTGCTGTGGGAGAAATCCTCTCCCCATGGGTCCCTAAGGAGCCATCCCAGGGCCCTGCCTGCGCTTCCCAGCTTGGGTGCAAGGACTGATGGGGACAGCAGCCCCCCCAGCCCCCTCCCATGGCCAGCCAGGCCCCTCGGAGGTGCTCTGTGCTGGCAGCACCATCCCTGCGCTGAGGAGCCACAAGCACGGCCGGGGGTGGCAGGCAGTGTGCCAGCTTCACAGGGAGGGACTGTACCTCCCCGACAACTCTCCTTCTTCCCCTCCAGTCAGGGACTCTGGGGATGCTCCCCACCGTCACCATCCCCAGCCTGCCATCAAGGGCTTGGCTTGTGGCAGGAGCAGGTGCAGGCACAACGGCAGTGATGAGGGGAAAACAGGCACCCCTTGGGCTGCAGGGATGTGTCCAGGGGCCAGGCTCAGGGATGGCTGGCACAGGCACCATCGGGCAAGGAAGGTGGGTGAGCAGACAGGGCAAGCTGTCCCTGTCTCTGGGGCCATTCCCAGAGAGCTCTGCCTGGCTGGGACCTGCCTGCACCACCTCCAAAGGTGGGACCCTCCCTTTCCCTGTGAGTACCAAGCCCCTATTCAGGCCCTCCTTGCCTTTCTCAGCCGGGGTTGGGACGGATGCCTCGGGGCCACTGTGGCAGTTCTCCCCCAGGCCCTTGAGCTCCCCATTCCAGGGCTGCCCAGAGCTCCTCAGGGAGCCGCCTTCCTCGCTCTTTGCTGTGCCCTGATAAGGTCTGCCTGGGCCAGCCCTTGCCATGGTTCCTCTGCCCGGCGAGCCTTGCCACGCCAGCACTGCCTTGGCCACACCGTCCATGACACAGCTCCCCCTGCAAGGGATCAGAACAGGATCAGGCTCCAGCTCCTAACATCCATCCCCAGCCCTGCCAGGCTCAGGGGAATAGAAAAGGGAGCTAATCCCAATTGCTCCAAGAGCTCCGGGCAGGGCTCTGGGCTCTGGCAGCTGGGCTTTGTTCAGCAGTCTGCAAAGGCGTGCGCACACCCGCGGCGCTGGGCACACGGGGGGATCACTCCCTGCCCCGCTACGAGAGAGCCATGGGCATGACGGGCCTGAACCATGGTCAGGGAGGGAACCGTGGGCAGAGCGAAGCTGCCCAGGGAAGGGAGAAATCGGCAGGTACCTGGAAAAAGGGCAGCTGATTTACTGCACCAGGCCCCAGACAAGTTCAAGGTGATGAGGGGGAGAGCGGCACAGCATGAGCGCCAGCCAGCAGCCCCTCACGCAGCTGGCTTTACCCCGTCCCTCCCTGCACGCCCATTCCAGCCCTCCGATCCAGCATCAGAAACCTCCCTGAAAACAGGATCTGTTTTTCCCGGGCGAGGATTTAAGATGGGATCAAGCAGGAGCAGCGGGGCAGGGCTCGCCAGGGCAGGCGGGCACGGCGGACGCCGCGGGGAAAGCGAGGATCTCCTGAAGGTTGCGTTTAAAGAACAGCCTCATTGTTTTTCCCAAACAATACTCAGCAGATGGGAGAATTGAAAGTGTGTTGCAACCTTCCCTCTCTTCCCCCGCCATGCCCGGCTTGCTGCTCCCATCCTTTGGCAGCCGATCTGAGCTCCCGGCTGGAAACCAGTTCTCCGGAGCTACTGGTGGAGGAGGCGAGCACCGGTGCTGAAAAGAAGCTTTTGGGAAGGGGGCTTGCCAAAGGATGCCCCATGGGATGTGCCCAGCAGGCAGCTCCCCGCTCCAGCCACATGCCTGCAGCAGTGGTGGCAGCCCAGTGATGTGTGGAGCCCGGCCGGGGAGAGGTGGGACCCCCTCGGATGCCTGGAGATGTGGCTGTGACCATGCCACGTGGCTGCAATGCTTCTGGCAGCCCAGCTCCACCCCCCAGGCCCCGAGTTGTGCCCGTTTGCTGGCACCAAGGTTTGTGCCAGGCCAGCTTAGCCAGGTGCTCCCCGACACCCCTCGGATCCCGAGCCGCTGACTGCGGCACACACGGGGGTCCGTGCCTGGCCACTGGCTCTTTGTCGGGCAATGTGGGTGCATCGCCTTTGCCACCCAAAATCAGCTCTGCACCCCTGGGCATGGAGCCTGGCAGAGGGAAGAGGGTCTCTGACCAGACCCTGGTGGGATGCCCAGTTTCCAACATTGCAGTGGCCTTGGAGGATGGCGCCAATCTCACTTCATTCCCATCCTGCAGGAACCAGGGTGGGGGGCTGGGCTGTGTTGGGGGCACTGCCAGGTACCAGGCGTGAGCCAGAGGTGTAGGAGCATCACCAGTCATAAAATTTACAATATTCCCCCACAAGAAGTATCCCAAATATCCCCCCACTGTGGATCCAGGAGCCAAGGATAACTGTTACCCTTTGGAAATCCCTTTGGCTTCTGGGCAGCAGCTCCCAGGGGACACACGTGCAGGTCCCTGGCAGGTGCTCAGCTCCAGGGTTATTTTGGAGCCTGGGCAGCCGGACACCCCCGGGCCCCCGCCCCGCTTCCCCGTGGGCAGGGTGAGGCCTCGTGCGTGGCGGCGGTTCCGGCGCTGCTTCCCTGCTAATCTCGGCAGCTCCCTCTTGACTTCCCGGCCTGGCCCCGAGGGGGAACAGAGGTGAGCTGCGGAAGCGGGAGGAAGTCCCCAAGCAGGGACACAGAGCCGGGCAGGGCACAGAGCCACCCTCCAGCCTGGCGGGACACACGGCCAGGAGCGTGTCCCGGGCCATTAGCCCTGTGCCAGGGCTGTTTCGGTGCCGCCGGGCTCTCCAGCTCGGGCCCGCTCCGGCTGGGGAGGGCGGCCGCCCGCCTGCGGGGTGCCGCGGGGCCGCGCCGGCTCCGGGGGCTGCTGGCGGGGCGATGCGCAAAGGCCAAGGCAGGGCGGCTCCCGCGCACGTTCCAATGTATCCACATCACCATCCGCAGCTCCCGAGCCCGGGCGAGCCTGCCCGCCGCGCGGGTGCGATGGGAACGGCAGCGGCAACGGGAGCGGCTGGGCCGGAGCTGGGGACCATGGCTGCTCCCATCCGAGCCGGGCTGGGCCGGAGCTGAGCCCGTGTCGGGGTGACGGGGAGGACACCGGAGCCTTCCCGTGCCTGGGCAGCGGCGCAGAGGATCCGCGGAGGAAAAGCCAGCTCCCTTCTGTCGGCCAGGAGGAGTGCAGGGAACAGCCCGGGTCTGTGAGGAGAAGGGCTCCTGGCAGCCCCGACCCCGCCAGCGACCGCACGGCTTCCCACATCACACCAGCGCTGTGAGCTGGCAACAACAGGCGCTGCCAACCCAGCACCAGCTGGAGATTGGGAGGGTTGGGACGTGGTGGGACCCCTGAGAGAGATGAAGTCAGGGTGGGAAAGGCCGGATGGCAAGGAAAGGGAAAAACAGAAAGAAAAAAAGGGAGGGAAAAATGGAGAAAAAAGCAAGCAAGAAAGCGAGCAATAAAGAAACAGA